TGATCTTGATTATCAAGTTGCTGGATCTGCAGGAAATAGTTGTACTATCTGGTGCCCACACACTGGGGCGGTCTCGACCACAGCGTAGTGGCTGGGGCAAGCCAGAGACCAAGTATACGGTATACTATCAGTCATTTTATCAGTCCAATATTCAGTGGTGTGATGCATGATGAATAATAAAGGTCAATGGCGTCGGCACTAAAAATTGTTAACAGTAGGTGATGATGAGAGGCGGGGATACAGCCTCCTATATCGGTAACAGTAGGTTAGAAAGAGTAATGAGTTCAGTTCTTAAATGGCCTGCTTTGACGACACGAAGTTTTGGACTCGCTATACACAGACCTTTCATGTTAATAATTTTTTGGGGCGGTTTATATATTTATTCTGCTTATTAATGCACTTGGAATTAAACTTAAAATTTACTTTATAGTCTGAAGTTGAACTGCTATAGCTTTGCTGCGTCAACCAAATATATGTCACTGAGTATCGTGATCTGGGATGATAATTGGTTTTTGTCGTTGTCTGGTATACTTCCATGCTTGAAGTCTTGCTTCAATTTCTTGTTGAATAAGGAATCTTCATTTATGCTTCAACTTTGTTCTTTCTGCCCTTGAATAAATCGAGTCAGTCTCTAATGTCTATTTCTTCATATTTATCTGGTTTCTTGTGGAATTTTAAGAAATTGAACGCGTTAAGATAACTAACAATAATTTTGAAGTCCTTGTTCATTTTCTCAACAGAAAGATGGACCAGGAGAACCTGGGGGGCAATCCTGGACAGTGCAATGGTTGAAGTTTGACAACTCGTACTTCAAGGTCAGGGACCTGCATATTCCGTTTTGTTTCTACGAGAGAGCGTTGGAGAGGAGGAAGTTGGTTGTGATACTCAATTTCCATTTTTTAACTGTTGTTTCTTCATTAGGACGTCAAAGAAAGAAAGGATGAAGAACTATTGGTCTTGCCAACCGATGCTGTTCTTTTTGAGGATCCGCCTTTTAAGGTGAAGTGATTGTTTTTATTGATCATGGCTGTCATGATTCAGCATTTAACTCTGAAAAATATGCAGGTCTATGCAGAGAAATATGCTGAAGATCAGGAAGCGTTCTTTAAAGATTATGCTGAAGCCCACGCCAAACTTAGCAATCTTGGAGCCAAGTTTGATCCTCCGGAGGTCTGTTCATTTTGGGTTACTTTTTAGTGAATATTACTTGAACTTTAGATGAGTGGGCTTGTGTATCCTACAATTGTTTCCCAAGCCTTGCTGAGGTGGAGATATCAGATAACTCTTGGTTCCTTTTTCTATTCGCTATCTGAGTCCAACCAACGACATAAATGATCAAGGTAGATGTCATAATAACAGATTCCTGTGGCATCTGGTTTACAGGGTATTGTCATCGATAGCGGTTCTCCAAAACCTGAGCCAGAGAAGTTTGAAGCAGCGAAATACTCGACTGGAAAGGTTGTAATCTTGCATAACTCATCAAATTTGAATATTCGTTTGATTGATAGTTGTAGAAGGTTTAGGACTTCTTATTGTTATTAAAGTGGAAATTTTATATTTAAATATTGTTTTGTTATACTTATCCTTGTTTGTGGCGGGAATAAAAACAAGAAAAGATTTTTCTAGCGTCAGTGTCTTTTGGTAAATCAAGAATAGTTTTCAAATCCAGTGATCTCACATGTAAAATCTGGAAGTCTTAATCAGGATTGAAGAATAGATTCAATAGTTTGCGTATTTGAAATGCAGAGAGAGCTGTCAGATGCTATGAAACAGAAGATTCGGGCCGAGTACGAGGCAGTTGGCGGGAGCCCAGATAAGCCTCTACAGTCTAACTATTTTCTAAATATCATGATTATCATTGCCGTTTTGGCATTTGTGACATCGCTGCTCGGAAACTAGTTGGATTCGCTTTCTTTGTTTTATTTTTAAAGGAAAAAAAAATTCTCTATAATTGCACGTGTGTTAGTGTACATACAATCTTCTAACTTATTCCCGGGGAAAAGAAGTCTACTTGAATTAGTGTAAGAAAGCCGCCTTAGGTGTTTAAGGCATTAATTAATAAATTGATAAATAATATATAGATAAATACTGCGTTTTCGTTGAAACTGTGTCTGATTGCTGGTGTTTGGTGAATATGAAGAAGAAATTAGATGGTACGGTGTCGTCGAAGCTGTGGATCCATTTTTCATGCATCTCGAAATCTAATATTTTGTGTAGTTTGAAAATTGAAAGAGTAAGGATTTACGGCAACACGAATTGTTTGACTTGATTGACAGAAGGAGTACGGATTTAGTCTATGTATTTCATGTTTAAAGAATCGAATCTTCGACAGGTAAATCCCCCGAAGTGCTTAACCTTGCCCAAAAAGATCCTCGAGGGCCTGAGATTTAGTTGAGTCGTGTTTCTTATAAGTTGCTACAATTGTAGCTTTACGAGCGTTGAACTGAAAGAGATTTGATTTTTCATTTTTTTTTTAATTTTGGAGGGTGTTTTTCTTCCGATCCCCGTCAAAAATTTGTCGTGGGTGGTGGTATTTACTATTCAGCGACGTGATATTGTAAAAGTTCAGGCTGTGAAGTGTCTGACATTTGAGATGGATTTTGAGTTTGTTACATCTCTTGATATCCGTGGAAAATGTACTTGTTTTCACGTATATCCGTAGTAGGATTCAGGACGCAAAAGGTATCGAAGTTACATATTACAGCCGACGACGGTAATTGAGATAAATGACATTCATTTAACAAAATATCGTGCATGAGACCATTGCTTTCAGTTAAATCAAATGTACTAGATTCGGCACCTTTTTATTTTTTCTTGGTAAAAGATTCTGGACCTTTTCATGATTAAATATATGATAGGTGTGGCCATTGTATTGCACTAGGAAAAGAGTGCTCCTGTGGAGGAATGTTTCCTCCCTTGATTTTAATATTCCCTTAGAAGTTAAAACATCAGGCAAATAAAATAGTGCGCATCTCTGAGCAAAATTATTACTTTAATGATTGGCACCCCCCATTTCACAGCAACCCACCTCTGCGCCGAATGATGAAGAGAGGCTCAGTCCAAAAATGATCATTCCTTTTTGATGATTATTAGGGACTAGTCCCTATAACGTGGTCAAGCGAATCAAGATTCGAATTTTCATTGAAAGAGGTGTTCACATTAGTACCCGATAATATTTTGAATAGGATTACCTCTAATAGAAAAATACCTATATTTTAGCAAATATTACACTAGCCACGCAAGACTAACGTCTGAGGGCACACATGCCACATGTCCTTGTGATCTAGATTATTTAAGTAAGTAATTTATATCATTTATCTTTATACTTCATCCAAAATATCTTTTTTAAGCTATAGCATAAAACGTAAGCCATCAACATAAAATTGAAACCATGGTTAAAAAAAAAAATTAAAACAATGTTTCTAAATTTAATAACTAAGCGAAGCCGCCATTGGTTTGTGGCCGTCGGCCTTCATGCGTCCGAACAATAATACTTTGAAATTTGAAACATGCAAGCAAAACAAAGTAACAACGACAGTCAAAGTTCTGTGGAAGGACCCATAGATATGATATCTTTTACTTACTTGGGCATACATCTCATGGCCTTTTTTTCTCCTTAAACCAAAAAGCAAAATTATAGTTTGATGCGTATGATTTCAGGTCATCGTGGTCAGTCGGACTTGAAAAACAAAAGGTTCGGACTTTGGATTCAAAGTTCAAACGTGTTCTACATGAGCCCATCACTTTCACTATTGGCCTCTGTTTCTACCGATTATCGGAAACAAATTGTAAGATGCAAATGAGGCCTCTTCGGCTGAGCTGCATCCCCCTCTCTGTAGCTACTTCTATAGGTCAAACTGCGTTATTTTTTTTTTAACACAAAAAAAAACATCTTTAATAATTTTATCCGATTTTCCATTTTAATCGTGTATATCTAAGAAAATGTAATTAGGTCATTTTAATTTTAGATTTCTTCATTTCATTATTATCATCTATATTTCAGCAACCCACACATTATGCGTTATTTTGATAATGTGATTCTACATAATCCAAGTCAATTATTCATTCAAACCACTTCAGCATAAAAATTTAATGTATACATACACACGTTATTTTATTATTTATTTTATCTCTTTCATAACATAAACAAAACACTGCTCCTTCATGTTCTTAATATAAGAGTTAGTTTGACTTTTAGTTTGATTCTAAATATATGACCCCAAATTTACTGTCTTTCATATTTATTCATTTTTCTCAAAATAGTTCTTGTAATAGTTGTAATTATTGCACATATCGAAGATTTCATCAAATAATAGTTTTAACTAATATATTTGATCAACAATGATATTTTAAGGAAGACAACACTTATTTATTAAAAGTAGCTAGCTTAATTAATTTTTTTTAATTTCTTGAAATTAGTCAACTCGCTGTTATATTAAAAAGTGGAGGTAGTACATATTTACAGTTCCAAAGGACCCATGACTGATTATATCGTCCAAATATGATACATTGATGACATTATTAGAGTTTAACAATATAGACAAATTTAGTTTCTTACATTAAAATAATGAAGATATCAATATATGATACAAAATTTATAAACTATTTATACGTCATGAATAATATAATTTATCTTAAACTCCATACGTTTTTAAAGCATAAAAATCAAACTAAAACTTGGAATTAGCGAACTTAGTCCATAGATAAAATAAATACTCGGTAAAAATTACTTGCCCCTATCCTGCATGTTGCCGTTGTCCAAATAAGAAAACTTCCAAGCCTCGTATATGATGCATCATCATCATCATCTGCTAGAGGAAGATCATCAGGAAAGAAGAACGAAAAATGTGTAGACTTTGCTTCCTAGCAATGGTTAATAAAATGGTTGCGTGGATTAGGAACCCGATTAAGTACTGGAGGTTTTGAAATTGCTTTGTCTATTTAAGGAGAGAAACAAAATACGTTAGCAATCCTGAGAGAAGAACTGGTTTTGCAGGGATCACAGAATAGAAAAATGGGTTGCGAACGTACGTGGCGTTACTTCTAAAAGCCCAACATAATGAAAGTCTCGAAGTGATTTAACGGTGAACGCCCAAAGAAGAAAAATGATGTGGTTATCAGAACAGAAAGCACTACTCAGATATGATATGCTTGGGATTTGCATATATATGGCTGCCATGTTACAACGCTCTACAAATTCAGCAACCTCTTGAGATGAAAATTACTTTATTTTTCCATTCACACAACCTCTAATTCTTTCATCTTGGATCTTGATCTCTCCCTAGGTTCCGGTGACGTCGCCTTCCGTTTACTATTACAGTTATTATAGCTATTGTCGGTAGATATGCATTCTCCTTCGCAGGAATTGTCGGGTAGTTTCAGGAAGTAGGGTTGGAGCTTCTCCAAATCTGATAACTGAAGAGGCTTCAAGAGAAACTCCTCTGCTCCTCCTTCCAGGCACCTAATGATAACACAATATTTCACTTTATTTTGAATTTCCAGCCAACACCCATACTTGATGTATAGTCGATACACTGCCCTTTTCTATGAATTAATAAAATGCAGCTAAAATCACGGTGAACTTTTTTAAAGGCTTAGTTAATAAGTCCTTATTTTTCTTTGAAGGTATTATATATCGTTGGATGAAAAGAAAGAAGAGATGTTAAAAGAGAAATAATTAATAGTGATATCAATAATAACATTCTCACATGCTGATTCTTGAAGGCACGTTTTCTGATGACATAATGACGACGGGTATATCTTTCCAAGGAGATCCCTGCAGGACACAGTAAGCAATTTATAACATAAGATGGAAACCAAATTAAAGACAACAGAATATAAAAACTAAACAAAAGACGAGAGCAATCTTTGATCTTGAGTTAGAATTGAAATTATTCTTCTTGTTTTCTTTCGTCAATTTTTTTGGCGTCCCTAGTCTGTACTGAACTTGGGGCATTATATAATATATATCACTTGAAAGAAAATGATGAGAATGCTGTGGTGGAAAGGTCAGAACTGATAAGAAACTTTGAAAGAGGAAAATGAAGATGGTGGTGTAGAATTGAATGAAACAAGAGCACTAGTACTTGTGGTGGTTGTTATTCATGAATGATATATACACGATCACATGTATAAAGAGTAGAGAAAATATGGTAAAGAATAAGACCTTGAGCCGTTTAAGCAAATCATAACCACTCATCCCAGGCATGCAGTAATCTGTCATGATCATATTCACTTTTGTACCCTGCATTTCACACACAATTTAACACTACTTGTTACTGTTTCGCATAATAACCATCCCCAGTCCCACTACAAGGATACCCCTAGCTAGCTATACCTACCACCACCCTTTTAAACGTCACCTCCTATATCCTTTTCTAGAACCGAATTAGTAGGCTTTGCTCAGAAGTAAAAGCAAATTGATATAAGATAGCCGGTACAGTGAAAAAAAAAAAATCTCCTGCATAACCGGCTACCGCATTCTTCTATATATGTTCAAAATGAATAATAGAGTTGGAGATTCAAATGCATTTTCCATTAAGATCTTCGATAGTTCTCTACATCTGAAGCTTAGTTTCTTTTTTTTTTTTTAACGTGAAGTTCGAGAACTTGACCCTGGGTGGACTTCATACCTGTAGAGGCATTCTAAAACTTTTTTTTTTTTTAACTTCGGAAAAAAAGGAAAGGATTGCTGTGTACTGGAAGTTCGACTTG